GCTGGAGCCTATCCTGGGCAGCTCAGGGAACCAGGTGGGAACCAACCCTAGATCAGATGTCATTCCATTGCAGGGCACACACACATGCACGTGCATGCGCTCACTCTCTCTCTCTGTCTCTCTCACTCACTCAGACTGGGACCATTTAGACATGCCAGTTCACCTAAAGTGCACATCTTTAGGATGTGAGAGGAAACTGACGTACCTGGAGAAAACCCATACAGACATGAAGAGAATGTTCAGACAGTAGCCCCAGCAATTTTTAATTTTCATCAGCGTTATAATCAAACAAGGTTGAATTAAGTGATATTATTCAGGAACCTGCTGTACTACTCCACTGCTTCCAGCAGAAAAATCCTGTGCTCCAATGAGTAGCACAGACAGAAAGGGAAATCTGTGAATTTCTTTATTGTAATGTTTATTTTCCACCAGGTTTTCGGAAACAAAAACTTTCTGAAACAACTACTGTAGCAAAGTCCACAGGCACACTAGACTACCAGGTTCTTTTGCTGTTAGCTGCAATCATGTTACATAGAATAAAAGATTAATAGGAAGTCCTGATTCATTAAAATGGGGAAGGAAATTATTACTTAAGAAATATTGGCCAGGCACAGTGGCTCACGCCTGTAATCCCAACATTTTGGGAGGCTAGGGCAGGTGGATCACTTGAGATCAGGAGTTAGAGACCAGCCTGGCCAACATGGGAAAATCCCATCTCTATTAAAAATACAAAAATTAGCTGGACATGATGGTGCATGCTTGTAATCCCAGCTACTCAGGAGGCTGAGGCAGAAGAATCCTTGAACCCAGGAGGCAGAGGCTGCAGTGAGCCAAGACCATGCCATTGCACTGCAGCCTGGGCTACAGAATGAGACTCTGTCTCAAAAAAAAGAAATATACTTTGTTTAGCAGATAGCATCATCTAAAATCTAGTGTCCAGGAAAGGAGAGGAGAAACAGTAATGATGCACTTTGCTTACAAACAACGAAAGCCATGCTTTAGAGGAGAATTCCCTTAGGTCAGTGCCTCCCGTCATTCCTCTCCAAAAATGACACCGTTATTGTTTCCAATGGGTCATATATGCAAACAGTAATTCTTCTCAATCTACCCAGCCACCATTCTTTTAAAGGTTGCCACTCCTCCAACCTCATATGATCCTGTATGGGCTGGAAATTGCAGCTCTCTCCAAACCCTACACACACACTCCCACTATTACCACCCTGTTTAAATCTGTAATCCACACTATGCCAATCTGATTCTTCCCTTGTCATATCTGACTCTTGAGCAAAGACACTTAGAAATAAAAAATGAATAAAGCTGAGTCACATGAATGTATTTAACTAGAAAAGGCCAATCCCCTAGAATCTGCTGCTAGGATTCCTGGAGTTGCCTTCATTCTTGGTCTTTCTTCAACCTGCTTGACCAGTTCTTCCATACTTAATTACTCAATGTTGTATAATAAAGAATTTGGCAGATCTTTGTCCTGGGTTACTAGGAGGTACCCACTGAATTTTTTAATATTCCCAGTGATAGGGATGTCTTTATGATGCATGGTGACCCCTTTGGACCACATATGAGTTCAGGCTAGTAAGATGACCTAGGATGACGGCAGGTCACCAGAAAAATCAACCATGGGATTAGAGAGTTGGGGCTCTGAGCCAGGTGATATCAATCCAACTTTTATGGAGAAAAAGGGAGCTAGAAACCAAGTTCAATCATGTGCCCGATAATTCAATCAAACATGCCTATGTAATGAAACCCTAAGAAAAACCCTGGACCCCAAAGTTCAGTTGAGTTTCCTGGCTGGCAAACACAACAATGTGCTGGAAAGGGAGATGTGTCCTGATTCCACAGGGAGAGGACAAAAAAGTGTCATATTCAGGACCCTCCCAGATCTTGCCCTATGAATTTCTTCTTCTGGCTAGTCCTGATTTGTATCTTTTATAATAAAATTATAATCATAAGTATAGGGCTTTCCTGAGTTCTGTGAGTAGTTCTAGTTAATTATCAAATCTGAGAAGGCCATGGTAATACATGAACTGTAGCCAGCTGGTCAGAAGTGCAAATGGCCTGGGAAAAGCTAGAAATTATGGCTAATGTCTGAAGTGAGAGTAGCCTTATTGGGGGCTGCGATCTTAACTTGTGAATTCTGTGCTAACTCTATATAATCACAATATCTACACTTCATATGGATTCTGTGAGAAATAAGTTAATATATGTAAAACATTTAGAAACAGTGCCTAGCATATATTAAATACTATATAAATGTTAAAGTAGTTTTTGAGTTTTTGTTGTTGCTGCTGCTGTTTTTATTACTGAAGTCCAGAGCTGGCAAAGATAGAGATTAGAAAGGTTTTCTGCGAAGATCTATATAACACAGAGAAAAGACTGGCTCCCAACATTGCTCAGAAAATGTTAACAATGCTAATCACACGGATGGTACTAACACTAGCCAGCTAACGTTCTGAACACAAATGACCACTGCTGACATCTACATCATCTAGCTAAACTCAGTACAGCCAGTTTGAGCCAGTGCCAGAATATTACATACTTTTTGTAGCTCTGGAAATCATCACTCCAGAGAGATTAGGGGACTTTCTCTGAATAATGAAGCAAATCATTGAGAGAAAGAGGACATATAAAACTTCGCATTTTAGTCTGTCAAATCACCAGGTATAACACACAGTAAGCAAATTCAAAAATAGTTCATATATATCATTTCTCATCTTAACTGTGAACTACATCACTGTGCACTGAAAGGCTTTTCTCCACTCACAGTTAATGAAGACTCTCCCCAAAAAAACCTCACTCCATCATCTTCCATTTTCCTGTAATTTAGAACACACTGGAAATGTTCCAAATAGTTGCTGAGTCCAAAAATAAAGTCCTTACCAGAAAACTGCCTGGAGCTGTTTTCTAGCATTATGATTCAGTCCCTCTGTTTCTGCCCTCTCACTTTCCTTTCCTAGATACTTCTATGTGAGCTTGCAGAAGAGGCCAGAATGCTCTCCCTGCCATCTCTAATTCTAAGTTCCTACTTTTGAAACCCACTCTTAAAACCAGCCACCCTGTCCTCATGTTATTAGAGAAAAATAAGAAAGTAAAAACTAAATGATGCTAACAGAAGATTTTTTTTTTTTCCTGGAACTGCTGGTATAGTTCCAAAGCTCATGTCACTGGCTTGATCTTCATCAGTAGGCAGCCTGAGTTGCTCAAGAGCTATTAAAGAAAAGCCCCCAGAAAGAACTCAGCTTCCAAAGATATCTAGGAAGCTCTCTCCTATAGCTGCCTAATGCTTTTTCTACATTGATAAAATATAGAGTTAACAGGAAGCATCAGCCTGTCCATCCCATAATCAGGATTAGAATCCAGGTCTTTCTGTTTCAAATTTAATGCTCTCCATCTACAATATAGATGATCCCTTTCAGATCTCAAATTCTATAAGCCTAAATTAAAATGTAAATAAAAATAGAAACTGCCTCATTTCTACTAAAACTAGTCTTCTCTAGACTAATGCTTTCAACCAAGAGGGTACTGAAAAGCATTAGCCTACAGAGCTGAAGCTCCAAGCCAAAGTTCTGACCCTACTAAATGCATGATAATGAACAAGTAACTTTATACATCTAGGCCTAAGGTTCCACAAATTAAAAACTAGGGACCCTGGTGGTTACTTATGTCTAACCCCTGTTAGCATCAGAACCTGCCCTAACAGACCCTGGGAAGAGAGACTACTTTCAGCCTTGTTGGTATCTGTGCCCTAGCCACAGATATAAATAGAGAGGAAGCTAAAGCCCTGTTTTTCCCTTCCCCATCAAGTCTCGCACATGCCCTTTCACTAAGAACTCTGAAGTAAATGCTCCAGAAAAAAAAAAAAAAAGGGTAATCATGATTTTGCAGTTTTACACAAATTTAAAGTTTTCATTAAGCTCAACATGGGTCAGTAGAGTGGTATGACTAGTGAGGCACCAGTATCTATCAGACTACATTAACAAATGCACAGGATTCAGAATCAAGAAGGTGACAATCCTGTTCAACTCTGTGATGATAAAATCACACTTGGAGGTCTGCAGCCAACTATAGGATCTAAGAAACACATTAACAAAAGTGTTTATAGGCAGGAAATCAAGATGAGAAGGAGACTGAGAAAATTTTTTCTTCAAGAAGTAGGGCTATTTAACCTGGAAAACAGAAAACTCAGGAGAGAATCTACTCTACACTATTGCTTTCAATCAAGATGGTATAGAAAAGCTTTCAACCGGCTGGGCACAGTGGCTCACGCCTGTAATCCCAGCACTTTGGGAGGCTGAGGTGGGTGGATCACGAAGTTAGGAGTTCAAGACCAGCCTGACCAATATGGTGAAACCCCGTCTCTACTAAAAATACAAAAATTAGCGGGGCATAGTGGTGTATGCCTATAGTCCCAACTACCTAGGAGGCTGAGGCAGGAGAATTGCTAGAACCCGGGAGGTGGAGGTTGCAGTGAGCTGAGATGGCCACTACACTCCAGCCTGCATGACTCCGTCGCAAAAAAAAAAAAAAAAAAGAAAGAAAAGCTTTCAATCAAAATGGTATAGAAAAGAAGAGAGTCTGTACCTCACTCAATCTTTGAATTGTCTAGGACTCAGCAGAGCGGGGACTAAGTGGGAAGCTGGAGAAGAAAGAGGCTGCCTCAAGAGACTAGTAAGCTCCCTATATCTGGAGATGAAGCAGCAAACTCTGGAAGATTCCTATGCCAGGGTCAGGTGTGTGTGGAAAGGGGTAGGAATAGGATAGAATACAAAAAGTATTCTAAAGAAAAAGAACTCCAACTCTGGAGAACCTTCCCCCATGTCCAACACAGTGACTATATTCAGTCTTATTTAGTGATTGTTTGTAGAATCATTTCAATAATTTGCCCTTTACTAAGCATTTTATATTCATGTCCTTTTAAGGCCCAGTTGCTGCTTCTCTCTTCTCTAAACCTTCCTGCAACTAGGATTGATGACCAGGCTGCCTATTACCTTCTGATGACTTCCATGCCTTCCACAGGTCCTCCACGCTGATGAGCTTATCCTCACCATGGAAGGTGCTGTGTTTCACTGTTGGGTCATGGTAATTAAGGTCTTCCCTCAGGAACTGCAAGGGAAAAGTACATAAGTCACAAGAGATACAAAGGAGTCAGCCCATCAAGATCTCCATGCAGATCACCTGCCTCTAGCTAGCCACAACACATTCCATCTACCCAACACCCAAGTGTATCACATCATTCATGTATCCTTTCTGGTGCATATGTCTTAGCTGCCATTTAGTTGTCACTTCCTCTTTGTTTCACGTCTCACTTGAAAAATATATATAAATTAGAAATTCCTTCCTCATATTTTTTAATTATAAAAAGATAACACATGACAGTTAACTGAAAATCAATAAGCTAAAAGAGGAAAGAAAAAAGGGGGAAAGAATTTAAAATGTTTGAGTACTCTTATACTAAGCAATATTGTAATAATTTCCACAATATTTTTTCATCAAATCTTCACAACCAATGCATTATCATACTTATTTTATAAATGAGAACAGTAATACTCTTGAAGATAATGCCATTTGCCCCAAATCACATTAGGTTTAGACAAGGTTAATTCACTGTGATGATTTTAAAACATGTCCACAAATTATTTCACAACCCTCCCATTAAAGGTAGATTTCCCTCCCCTTTAATACAGGCTGACATTAGTGACTCATCTTCTAACAAATAGAATGTGGTAGCAGTGATGTTGCATGACACCCAAGTCTAGGCTAGAAAAGGCAATACAAATTTCACCTGGCTCTCTCTTTTTTGGGACACATGGCTGAGGGACCCTGAGCCAACATGTAAGAAGCCTGGCTACCCTGAAGACACCCTGCTGGAGATACCATGTGGAGAGACTATGCAGAGATAGAAATGTGTGAGTAGCCCCAGCTGTTTGGGTCTTCCAGCTCAGGAGTCAGATAAGTGAGTAACTGGGACCTCAGGTGATTCCAGCCCCCAGTTCGCCTGACACTGAATAGATGCAGATGAGCTATCCCTATTGAGCCATGCCAAGATTGCAGATGAATGAGCAAAATTAATGTTGTTGCTGTGTTAAGTCACAGTTATAAGGAAGTTTGTTACACAGCATTAGATAATTGAAACACTTGCTCAAGGTTATAGCTGACAAGTTATGGAGTTAGTATTTAGTCTGACATTAAAATCCAAATTTTTCCCCAGCACTACACATAATGTCTCTTAATTATCTGGAAATTTTTTTCATAATATACTTAACAAGAAAGAAGAAAAATAAAGGAAATCAAAGCTTTTAGAAATTGAACTGGTAATTAACTCCAGAGATACTCATATTGCTTGATCGTTAATCTCATTCATATGTATCAGACTAAACACTGACCATTGCTTTCCACAGACCCTGAAAATCAAAAAAGAAATGCAATTCTGTTCACTATTCTCACAAGAACACATTTTAGTAGAATTTTTAGGCAATGTCTCAACCATTTTTCCTTGTCCACAAGGTCCAGGAAAGAGTGTGACCCAGAGTAATGTCAGTAAATGTTGCTGACTACATGAATAGATGGTCTCAGATTCCCTAGATATAGTCACAGGAAGTCTAAAATAGCCAGTCTAGGATCATAAATTAATACATTCAATCATTCACTTATTTATTCAACAGATAGTCAACGAGGATTCTGTGTACTAGATATAATTCCCAGTACTAGAGAGGCCATAAGGAGTAAACAAAACAAACAAGAATCTTTATCCTCATCATCCAACTGGAGTGACAGAGACAATATAAATAAAGCAGGACATCCCTTCATAATAAAATCTCTCAGTCAGGTATGATGGCTCATGCCTATAATCCCAGTGCCTTGGGAGGCCAAGGCAGGAGGATAGTTTGAGGCCAGCTGTTTGAGACCAGACTGGGCAACATAATAAGACTCTGTCTCTATGAAAAGAAGTTTTAAATTACAGGTGGCACACACCTGTAGTCCTAGCAACTTGGGAGGCTGAAGCAGGAGGATTGCTTGAGCCCAGGAGTTTGAGGCTGCAGTGAACTGTGATTGCACTATTGCACTCCAGCCTTGGTGACAGAGAGAGATCCTGTCTCTTAAAAAAAAAAAAGAAAAGAAAAGAAAAACTTTCAGCAAATTGGATATAGAAGGAATATACCTCAACACAATAAAGTCCATATATGACAAACCCACATCTAATATACTGAACAGGGAAAAGTTGAAAGCTTTTCCTCTAAAATCTGGAACAAGACAAGGATGCCCTCGTTCACCACTATTATTCAACATAGTACTAAAAGTCCTAGCCAGAGAAATTAGGCAAGAGAAAGAAAGAAAGGGCATCCAAATTGGAAAGGAGGAAGTCAAACTGCCCCTGCATGCAGACAACATGATCTTTTTTTTTTTTTTTGAGACAGGATCTTACTCTTGTCACCCAGGCTGGAGTGCAGTGGCATGATCTCAGCTGACTGCAACCTCCACCTCCTGGGCCTCAAGGAATCCTCCCATCTCAGCCTCCCAAGTAGGTGGGACTACAGGTGTGCACACCATCCCACCTGGCTAATTTTTGTATTTTTGGTAGAGTCGAGATTTCACCATGTTACTCAGGCTGGTCTCAAACTCCTGAGTTCAAGCAATCCTTCTGCCTCAGCCTCTCAAAGTTGTGGGATTACAGGCGTCAGCCACTATGCCTGGCCAATATGTACAACTGTTATGTATCAATTACAAATAAAATAAAACTTTAAAAATGTTTTTAAATAAAATAAAATTAAATTAACAGAAAAGTAAGCAGGGTAGCGGAATAGGGAATGCTAAGAGTAGTGGTATTCACAGTTTGTCATTTTAATGAGAGGAATCAAGGTATCATTAAAAAGCTGACTTCATTTTTATTTTATGTACAAACAGGTACTATGATTTTTCAATGGGTGGATGTCTTAGATAATCCATTCGAGAAAGACCACTTAGTCCAACTTAATGAAACCTATATCCTTCAAGTATTGATGGCAACGCTAAAGACACATATTGAGGCAATATTTCCAGATCAGACCATGCTGGTTTGAGCAGACCCAACAAAAGCAAGAACCGTAGCCAGATTTTTGTCAGTGGCTCCAGTAGAGCTGCTGGTGATCCATCTTGCCTTCAGGGGTGCAACAAAGCAAAAGGCAAGAAGGTGATTTTAAAGCAAGTATTTGAAGAAGGTGTGGGAAAAAGGCATGCAGAATAACTGGAAGAAGAGTATCCCAAGAACAGAGAGCAGTAGATGCAAAGTCCCTGAGGCAAGAGAACATACTTGGTATGTTATAACAAGAAGGCCAGTATGGCTGGTGAGAAATGAATAAGGTGGTGATTAGCAGGAGATGAACTCAAAGAAACCACAGAGTTCCAGAACAGAGAGCCTCCTTTTTAGGCTATTATCAAGACTTTGATTTTTCACTCTGAGAAGGCAGCTGTTACAGGGGGAGCTGAACAGAGGTATAGCATGATCACATTTATATTTTTAAGAGGATTTCTCTGGATACTGTGTTAAAAAGTAGACTATAAAAGGGAAAGGGTAGATGCAGAGAAATCACCAAGGTGGCTACTACAATAACGTGAGCTAATGGTGACTTGAAACAAGGTGGTAGCTGTGGATGTGATGAGAAGTTGTCAGGATTAGGATATAATTTAGAGATAAAATCTGCTATTCTCATGATTTTTTAGGTTTGATTAATCAGGTCCTTCAAGATATACCCTTCTTTGGTCCTCACAGACTCCAACCTAGAACCTCTTAATCTAAGACTAGAGAGACAGTTACCATAAGCAGGCCTTGGGAGCATAAATACCAAAATCTCCAAGGAAGGGGATTTTCTGCCATTATCAGATAACTCCAGGAAACCATGTGATGTGAGATACCACCTGCTTAAAGGAAACCAACAAGAAATAGACTGAATTTTATAGTCAAGCCTGATCACCGAGGTATGTGGAGAGCAGAGAAACTCAGAAAGAAAGTGCAGGGAAGATCTGCACAGGGACTCACATATAGACCCTACTGGTGCCACAAAGCACACAAAAAAGGAGTAGGGTCAGAAAACAAGGTCAGCAAGAAGATGATGCCAAATGAAGAAGTGATGAATAGAAGCTTTACTTGAAGGAAGGTACCTATGCTGAATGGGACCTCTTTAGAAAATAAAGAAATGAAGCTGCAACAATCAGGCCTGAAGAGTCAGAAATGCAGAACCCATAGAAACGAGCTACTTACTTGCTGTGTGACTGCTGGGCAAGCTACTTTGCCTCTCTGAGCCTATTTTCCTCTCAAAATTAGGGTTAATAATGCCCCTCCTTTGGGCATGGTAAGGATTAAATGAGACACGTTTGCAGAAGTCATTAATTGCCTTTGTATTTGTCTTTTACTGTCCTGCACAACATTTTAAAAAGTTGAACTTAAATTTTAAAATCAGAGAATTTTGGCTGGGCATGGTAGCTCACACCTGTAATCTCAACATTTTGGGAGGCCGAGGTGGGTGGATAACCTGAGGTCAGGAGTTTAAGACCAGACTGGCCAAATGGTGAAACCCTGTCTCTACTAAAAAATATAAAAATTAGTTGGGCAGGGTGACGCGTGCCTGCAATTCCAGCTACTTGAGAGGCTAAGGCAGAAGAATCACTTAAACCTGGGAGGCAGAGGTTGCAGTAAGCCAAGATCGTGCCACTGCAATCTCTAGCCTGGGTAACAGAGCCAGAATCCATCTCAAAAAGTCTCAAAAAAAAAAAATCAGAAAATTTCACTAAATGTTCACTCAGGCTTTTAGACAAATCAAAAGAAGTTGGATTTATTTAAAAGATAGCCTGAGAAAGTGGACTTTTAGTAAAACTTAAGGCTTATGCCGTAAATCTCAGCACTTCAGGAGGCCAAGGTGGGAAGATTGCTTGAGCCCAGGAGTTCAAGACCAGTCTGGACAACATAATGAAATGCTATCTCTACAAAAAAAAACTTAAAATTAGCCACATGTGGTGGTGTGCACTTGTGGTCCCAACTACTTGAGAGGCTGAGGTGTGAGGATCATTTGAATCCCAGAGGTTAAGGCTGTGGTGAGCCGTGGTCATACCACCTGTGCTCCAGCCTGGGC